ATTTTCATAGACTCTACCTGGTTAATACAGGCAATAAAATTCTCAAGGACAACAGAAAAGATAAATGCTCAATGCAGGAGGAGAAAGTAGGGGAGAAAGTGGGTTGTTAGTAAAACAAACATACAGAAATAAAAACAACAAGAACAAATAACCACAATATATCTATGAATGCATACAATTTCCTGTTTTAATTTTTTTTCTTTCCATCTAGTCTGAATGAATTGTGAATAGTTTTGTTTCAAGACCAAATATTTTTCTCTGAGGATGATGTAGGAAAACGCACATTTTTATTCACCAGAATTCTACAAGGGCTGCTCATTATGGGGGGAAGACGTATGGACGTCCAAGAAAAGATTAAGAAGGCCCCTGTGCAGGGTGTACAGGCTTTTATCAGGGAATAGGTATGAATAATGCCTCTCCAACTGAATGAACCAGCAAAGTGCAGTATGGGATGTCAGGGACCTGTGAAGAAAGAGGGACATAGAGAAGAGGAAGGGATATTTAAAGAGAAGTTACAAGGTTTTCTCTTTGATACATTGTAAAGCTTCTTCCAGGTCCTTCAAGGAACACTAAGATAAAGCTTTGCATTGCCTTCTGAGGCTTTAGAAGTTGAACTGATGTTTCTTTGACTGCAACATTGTTTTATTTAAAGTCTCATTTCAAAGAAGGAAAAAGCAATCCCATATTATGTGGACTACACAAAGATGAGTTTTCCCAAGAATCTGATATGCTTATGCTACCCAAGAACTCACAACTAAATGGTTCCATTTTATTTATCCGTAATCGTCTTCCACTACTTCCCAGTGTGGCTCCCTGCTCCCAATGTGTTGGTTTCATGAGGATTCTTTTACAAATACCATTTTCTTTTTTGAGATACTCTCTTCTGGTTTTCTGACAAAACAAGTTTTAAACATTCTTCAGAGAGACTCAGCCTCATAAAAGTAGACACAGTTTTCTTTGTCTTTGTAATCCCTTGCAGTGACTAAAAGTACTGGTATACAATAGTCATAGTAACTACCTAAATTCAACCCAAATTTTGCTTTCCTCCCAAAGTATGTCTTTTTTAACAACCCATATTGTTCCATTTTACTCTTTGATTTACAGATACTTTGAGTTCATATAATTTATTTCTGCTCATGTAAATTGATTGCTGACTGGAGATTATTTTCTATATTTCATTATAAAGTAATAACTAAATAGGTAAAGTGTTTGGTATAACACCCATCACCTAGTAGGTATTTACTTTTTTAATGTCTGAGTAAACATAATAGATTCTTAAGCAATGCTTGTTTACTTGATCTGAAAAAAATATATAGATATTGACTGAGTTCAAATAGGTCATAAAAGAAAAATATTAGGATATATTAGTATTCAAATGTTACACAACTAAGTCCTAAACCTTTTTTTCCCCAGTAGCTCCTTTTCTCTTTTTCTCACTTTGTAGTTTCCCAATATTACATTTCCTCTCCTTATATGTAAATTTCAAAGTTGTTGCAACAAATTCTACGAGTCATGAAAATTATGAGGCATGACCCCATAAATATCACTAATGGAAAGCAATTGTGAATTTTAGATACCTTTGCATAATAGTATATAAAATGGACTAGTTTCTCTTCCTAACCTATAACATCCTATTACTCGCTAACTTCTGTTAATTTTCCTTCCCTGATATGTATAAAATTCATATTTTCTCCATCCTTTCTGCAGGTTTTTTTGTTATTTGTTTTGTTTGTTTGTTTGTTTGTTTGTTTGTTTGTTTGTTTGTTTGTTTGTTTTGAAACACCTCCATCAGGGAGTTTGCTGCCTCTGGAATTACCCTTGTTATAAGCCTTTTTCTACTCATTTGAGTTTCCTGATTATGCTGCCCCATGTCTACCCATTGTTTTCAAGGAAGGTCATTCTAGTTCTATGAATATGTTTGACATTTACTTATAGATGGACAAAATCTGTTTGCTTATTAATTTAACAGATGTTTAGAACAACTACTGTATTCCAGGAACTTCCAGGCAAATGAATCCACCTATACCAGAGGGCTTAGAGTCTAGTTGTTCGGGTTTGAATTGTTCTCACTACCACTTATAAGTAATATGATCTAGGAGCAACTTCATGATTAGTTTTCTCATAATAGCACTTCCTCACTGTGTAATTGGGAGGATTTAATGAGAAAATCTATGTGGAGTACTTCGTGTCATTCCTGATACATTAGGAATTTACTAATAAATGTTACTTTTTATTGTTGTTGTTTAAGAAACAGAGCTGTCCAAAATCAGTTGCCAAGAATGAGGTGTACATTTATATAGTAGAGTTTAATTTAGTATAAAGCCTGAAGAAAATGATTAATTCAACTAAGTATATGCTTTTAATAATCCTTAAAACAATAAAGTTAGTAAATATAAACAATTTAATATATATATGCCTAAACATAATATTTACATATTATATATGCCCCAAAGTGTTCAAGTTCTTTTTTTTTTTCTTTTCCCATCTGTATAAATAAGAGAATAAAACAAAACAAAATGTCCTGACTATGGCTTCACACACATTTGATCTTATGAAGAATAAAGATTTTTTTTTTACTCTATTTTCTATGGTCCATTGCGCAAATGACAGCCAAGACTACAAAAATTCATAGCGTCCCGGTCTCAGGAGATCCCAAGCATAATCATAGGCGTACCAGGGAAATCAAGGCCTACAAACTGTTTCTGTAGTTGTTCTGGCAGTAATCTGTTACCCAACCCCCATGGAGTTTGGTAGAAACAGCGAGTTGAGTTCCCACCTGATTATGAGAATTTCTCTTATCTCTCAGATATATTCCACCTCTTCTTTCACCTGCCGCTGCATTACGGTATTTCACATAGACAGTGTTTCTCTCTAGGAGTTTTTGCAGATGTCTCTGAACTTGAGTTTATGCTTCCTAGTCTCTTCTTTCTATGTTAAACTCTACATGGATGGCAAAGAGATTTTTTTTTTCCTGCAGTTTTTATTATGTCACACTCCTGCTTAGAAACCTTCAGTGGCTTTCCACTGTCTTTGGGGATGAAATCTGAAGTCCTTTTAATAAAGTATGAGTTACTCATAATGTGGCTTTGACGACTCGCCAGCTGCATATCTCACCCTTGCCATTTTGTATTGATGTTGCAGTCATCCCTGGCAATTAGCAGATCTCCAAACGTCCTTCGTTTTTCCAGCTCTTACTCCTTTCTCTTACTTTTTGTGTCTTTTCTGTCTGACAGGCAAAAAACTACTCACATTTTAAAAATAAACTTTTGCAGCAATCTCCTTTTCTGACTCCAGCCTTAGTAAAAGTGAATATATGCCTGAGAGGGTAAAAGAAAAATATTTTTGAATAGGTTTTATGTGTTTCTCCCAGTGAGTATAATTGAATTGTTTCTTTACTGAAACAAGAAGAGAGGTGTGTGGGGGTTGTGTGTGCATGGGCACGCGCATGTATGCATTAAAGAAGTAAACACAAAGTAGGGTTATATTCCCATATTCTTAACAAATCTTTTTTTTTTTTTTAAAGATTTTTATTGGTGAATTGGGGGGATGGGAACAGTGCTGGGGAATTGGGGGAAAGGGGACAGACAAGTTGCTGTCGTTTTGTTCTTCAGTCTAGTTGTGGAGGACGTTGCTTCACTGGCCCAAGTTGGCACCATCATTGCGCTCTTCCCGGGTGAGGCAGATCAGTCGCCGGCTTCTGGACGGCCGCTCACTGCGGCTGCTGGCCGCTCACGCTGGCTGCTGGCTACGCACGGTAGCCGATGGCAACCCACTGCCACAGGGACTGCAGCCCACGCCGTCGCCGGCGACTCACGGCAGCCCAGCTCCAGGTTGAGCATCTCAGCTGTGGAGGGCAGTGTCACTGGCCCTCATATGTGGGATCCGAACCGGGGTCCTCTGGCATCCCAAGCCAGTTCTTAACCATCGCGCCACTCGGCCTCATCATTAACACTAGAGTGACATGTGCTGATCCAGGCATGGGAAAGATTAAATGAGGCCGTGCATCTCAAGTGCTCAGCAGAGAACACAGAACGTAGTAGGCTCTTGACAAGTAGCATCTACTTCCCCACTCAACCCCTCCACCCAATGGGAAGGCCTCTCGACTGATTTAAATTTAAAATGAAGATAATTAGAAAAATAAAACCATGACCAAGTGAAAATGACCATGCATAGTTGTAAAACAACATAAATTTAGTGGGCACAATTTGAACACACTTCTGCCCACCTTAAAGAAAATGTGACTTCTTTATTTTGTATAAATGACATGCTTTAACTCAGTAGACCCATTGTATGGTTAACTGTTAGCCAGCTTTGGGGACAATGCTGTACCTTTAAATTTAGCTTCTCTGTTTCTCTTTTTCTTCAACTTTACATAGTCTCTTTTAGATAAATGCCTTAAAAAAAAAGTGTCCAGCTGCTTTGGGCTCTCGGCGGTCTTGAAAAGGGAAAAGGAGTCTTAAGTCCCCATATAGCCCCTAAGATTTTCTCTAGACATATTTTCTTGGTGGCAGAGGGTCATCTCTGGTCTGGTCTTTCAGACCATTTCTCTGCTCTGAGGTGTAGCTGACAGATGTGCAGCTTGTCTTCTTGAATCCTAGTACAGTGGCACTGTCTTGCTTTACTAGCTTCTCTTTGATTTTATATCTTTCTACGTTCCAACAGCTTTTTTTCCAGGCTGTGTCTAGGCTGGCAACATGTGGACTTGGGGGCAGGGCCATTTTGCTGTGGTGGCCTGATGTTAGGTACGTGAGCTTTTAAATCAAGTAAATTTTCTTTCCTCCTCTGGCAGTTTCACATCACATGGGGTTCTATTCTACTCCTCCTGGGGGCCAAAGGAAGGTGAAAATGTTGGTTCTTGCTAACGTGCTGTGGTGCACTTTCCATTCTAGTGCTGCTACCGTGCCTTAGCATGGAGTCGCCAAAAAAATCTCCATCTCCCCGTATCCTTCCCACGTTCTACCAGGCTATCCATCTACTTGCAAGGTATTAGGATTCATTCGGTAACATTGTGTAGGTTTTTATCTTCTTCTTTCTGAAGTGGGAGAAGGGAGAGGAAAGTAATAAGTTTAGCTTCCGTGAAGGAGAGATGCAGGAAAAGGAATTGTTTTATTGATAAGGGAACACACATTGGATGAATTCCAAAATCATTGTCCCTCTTCCATACATATAAAGGTCATGGAACAGAATTCAGTTTATGTAGAAGGGATCATGTGATTACATAGAAAGGCTTTGGATGCTAACAGAATAATAGTACACTAGCAGTTTGGTCATTAACCTTCCATCCTAGTTCAAGCTACAAATACAGACCATTTAAAAATCAACAAACAAGTAAACACACATACAAGCGCAGTCAACCTGGAGACATAGCATTTTTCCTAATAGTTTATAGATTATTTTTAGTTGTCCTACCAGTGGTTAAACCAGATAGACTCATAGGAAGAATGAGCCGCTGAATTATTTTATGAGCTACTTTTTTATTATGTACAGTACACAGTTACTAAAAGTCACAGAACTAATTAGTGGCAGGTGTACGACAAAAATCCAATGCTCCTTACTCACTAACCAAGATTTTTAAAAAATCTAGATACTATTGTGATTCCTTCCTCTTTATTGTTTAAAAATTTCACTATATACAAGGTTAGAATTTTTTTTTCCTTCAGTTCATTAAGCATCAAAGCACTTGACTCCCTATAAACTAATATTATCTACTTGGAATTCTAGCTCCTATTAGATAAGGCTGCTACAGTGATATCCTGGAAAGCTTTATTTTTGCAACATCATTTAAAAATATTAATTATAAATGCAACAATAATAATGCTGTTTTATTTATATTGTGATTTACATATGTTTGTTCTATTAAAGTATCATTTAACATAAATAATTTAATAACCATTGATCTTCTATAAGATCATTGACCTTTACATATTCTTTTCATAAATATGTAGGATGATAATAGATACTTTCTTTGAATTTAAGCCCTTGTATGGAGAACCCATTTAGAAAATGTATTTAATAGTAAATGTTATTGTTTCAGAACATATATAGTATATTTATTTTGAAATACAAGATGGGTTCTTTGTATACATTTGTATGGACTGATTGTTGGTATTAGAAGGTAAAAAGCTGTATTCATGCAACCATATACATGAACTTATGTGTACGAAGAGAAGAAAGACGAAAGGAAAGAAAAAGAAAAACTGTCTGATGTTGTTGAATTAAATTAGAATATAATTATTACTTCATGTCTTCACAAAAGACATTTTGTAACATTTAAAATTTCTGCTAATTGTGCAAGGTACATTATCATGCAAAAGAATGTTAGTGAAGGTTGAAAAGGACAAACCAACTATTCTCGTACATCACCATAATTATGCAGCCCCATGTTCGAACAATTACATTTATGTAGACCCACTGTTAAAATCAATGTTACTTGTACAGCTAGTCCTTAATCAATGAAATCAGTCAATTTACCATGGTCACATCCTTCTTCTTAATTAAGACAGTGATATCTCTGGAGCACAGGGTCTCAAAGAGATAAATAAGTACAGAGGTTGTGAAATGTCAAAGAGGTGACTCCCCAATTTTACTCCTGACGAACTTGGGAGGAAATAAGACAGTTCCCTCAGTTCAGGGAAGCAGCACAATCTTCTAAAGAGATGGCTTAGCATTCATTAAGAAAAGAGCAGGTAGTGGTGTCTGACAGAAATAGCACTAATGAGCAAAGGAGGTTTTCAACATGCATATCCTTCACAGTCATCCTCTGAATTATGAAGGTTGTGCCACCTAAGCCAATTTTAATTAGAATGAGCATAGACCTCTTTGGACAGTTAGCCTTTCTTTCCAAAATCCATTTCAATATGGTGTCATTTTGTTGTCATAATCAAAATGGCAAAGTGATGGAATAACCTACTTAAAATGTCTGTGGTGTTAAAGCAGCTATGGCAAACATCCTCTAATGACACATGTAATAAGGGTATTACCTGGAGGACGTTGACAGTATGCTCCGTGTTGTCATCAGAGCGGGAATAATGAGAGAGGTGACAACAGAGGGTTTCAAAGATCCAGTTTCCCTTTTCTGTCCCACCAGTGGACTGTACAAGTATCATTTATTAGAAAGGAAAGGAATAGAAGAGAAAACAGCTCTATTAAAAGTAGCAAATGTAGATATATCACATTGATTTTTTATTTCATTTGGCATACTATCTTTGCACTTTTAGTCTGGTATTAGCTATCTCTTTTTATCCTAAGAGAAGCCCTTGTCAGGCCATATGAAAATAAAGGAAAGAAAAACAATACCTACATAGCATTGACACATTTCTCTTGAAAATAGATACGATCCTTTTTCTATCAAACCCAGTATAGAATTATCTCTATACATGAAAAATTATTCAAGTCAAAGTGTAGAAATAGAATTTAAACTAAAACTTCTTAATCCAAGCATGATTATATGATACATATGAACACAAACAAGTGATCATTTGTTTTCTCTGTCCCCCGTAGCAAATAACACATTGCAGAAATATGTAAGACAATTAATGTACAACGATGCTACAAGTTTGGAATAAGTATTCTCTATCACATGTATCAGGTGATGTTAACAGAATATATGCTGAAAAAATAGTGGCCATGACTTTTGCCAATAAGAATTATTACCATAAGTTTTCTCTTCTTTTTGTCAATTACATTTCATACTTGAATAAGTGTATACATTTTTAAAATGCTTGAAATTGCTTGCTCTTTAAGAATAAAAACATGTGCTTATATCAATTACTTTTTCTATATAAGCCTTTTTAAAAAAATAATTTTATAACAGAAAGTGACAGTAAAAATTAGAAACCTTAGAACAGATTTGTACACTTATGTTGTTGATTTTAAACCAAACTAACTTTTATCAAAAGTTATTTCTTAGATCCTGTAAACTATAATTGCAATTTAATTGTGTGGCATTCAATGCCTGGGAACGGAATTTCTTAGGGATGTCATTCTTCCTGTTAGCATCAAAAACCATTCATAGGGAAGGAGCCCAACCAGTGAGAAGGTCATAAGAATATCAATAGACATACAAACTCAAGAAGCCTCATACAAAAATATCTAAGTAGTAAAAGAGTGGTGAGTGACTAAGATATTCACCTAGCAAGATACTCAAAGTCCTAAGACAACTTTGATAGATGTTACTAAAGGGCAAGGGAGGTAGGAAGGGTTAGAATGTCCTCAGTAGAGTGTATTTGAAAAGAAAGAATTTTAAAAAGCAAGAGAGGAAAAGATATTTAGCAGTTTAAGATTCAGGGATTAAATAACGTATAAGTCGTTAACACAGATAAAACTGAGGAGATACTTTTTGTTATTCTAGTCTAGTTTTACTTTTTTTCATTTATGTAACTCATGGTAAAGATAAAGAATCAGTGGTAAATTAATCTGTCTTACATTTAAGTTTCTTTAACAATGTCAGGATGGGTGAATACTGTTCTTTGTTAATTACATATATCAACTTAAGGACAACAAAATAGGTAGAAATAGGTTGAGCTGGTTCTGAAGACTTTCCTGAGTAGCCATCAACCATATGAAAAGAAAGGAAAAATATTCCGATCTTATTACATGCCAAGAGCTGAAAACTTAAATAAGAGATGAAAAATAAATCACATTCAAAATAGAAAATGGGTATGTACCTGAATGTCTGTGCTGAGAAGAACTTTAAAGGTGATGAATAACCGATCACTATCCACTTTCACCATCTAATAGCAGAGGAAGACCCACACTATTTGTTAATTTGAAGAAGATTCTAAGTGTCTATGAGAGGAAGCATACGAATGTGTTACTCTGCCTCACAAGGAAAAAGGCCTATTTAATTTTCAATTAGGGACATTTGTGCAAATAATACATTCATATTTAAATAATTAGCTTAAATGAATAGTGAAGTAGAAAGCAAATTATAAGCTTTTATACATTTAAAGACATAGCTTTATATTTAATAGTTAGATCTCTTTTCATGAGAGGGGATTGGATAAGCCAGTTTATGTACTTTGGGCCCTACTGTGTTCAAATAATGCAATTTCTAAACCCAATTTGAACTGCAGCCTCTGCACTTCTTTAGACAGCCAAACATTTTAACTTTCCATAATGGATTTTGTTTCTGATACAAATGGAAAATAAACATATAACAATATATCAATAAACAAATAGCCATATATAAACATAGAAAATCAAATAACCATTTATCTATGGATATTATATATAAATAATAAACATTATTAAACATAAATTTAATAATTATATATCTATGGTTATTAGACAAAACATATAACTATAAAACACAAAACAAATAACCATATATCTATGGTGATTTGATATATATATATATATATAAATATAACTGAAAATATTTTACTGTGGCTTACTAATCAATCTCATTTACATTGTGGAAGAAGTTGTGTTAAGGTAACTCAAGAAATGCTTAAGGAAAGACAAAGTCACTCTAGGCAAAAGAGAGATTCCACCCCTGCTCCCCACACTACTGCATCGTTTTTGGCATAAGGATGCAGCAATCATGGTCAAAGCTTGTGGCCACGCAGGAAGGAGATCTTACTGAGCCACTGCTACAAACAATGGTGCTTATATTATATCGTATGCCAGGCTTCTAGATAAGTCCCCTAAATCTTTTCCACCAAAAAAGTGACAGTTCTGAGGAAAGCCACAGATTTCCGGTCTGCAGCAACTTTAGTCCTAGATGGGCAGGAAAATGATATTCTCTCTTCCTAAGAAGTCAGCTTAGCAGGACTCCTGCCTGCCAGGAGAATAGAGCTGATTATTTCCATCTGTCTCCTTTCTCTTTTTCATCCTGTTTTCTCTTTAGTAAATATACTTGTGAAGTCATTCGTATTTTGTATGTGTGTGAGTATGGAGTACAGCACAATAATGTTATATCACCTGGTGCTATAATATCAAATTCACTTAGAATTTGAATAGACTCTTCCTTCCTCTGTTATTCCAATGCTGGATGCTTACATTTTTAATGAGGATCTTTCTAAAGACAATAGGTTAGATTAGAATAATCTAAGGATGATATAGAAGCAGATGCTGACAATATAAAATAGCTGATTGATAATAACATGAACATGTATTGAATAAATTCTTAGATCACTTGTTGATTATAACTCACAGCCACAATGAACCAATTAAATATACAAGTAAAAGGAAGCTAGTGGTTATTCCTTTATCATAAAAAAGCTATTATGCAGCAAGAAATGACTGATTATTTATAGAAAAGTGATAGAAACCATTCAGAAGTTAAAAAGCTTATTTGACATAAAGATGTTAAAAATGTATTTTATGAACTTATCATCTCTTGAGTGAGGCCATAATATAAAGGAGGCACAACTATGGAAACTTTCAAGAACAACAATGAAGTAAACTAAACATATCATTTTTCTGTTTTAGAGACAAGCAAACATAAACAACTTCTTTCCAAATACCATATATATTTAGAATACTAAAGAGATGTTTTCCTAATTGTGAAACTGAGGACTTAAAGAATTAGTGTGTCTTCAAAATACATCTTAATCATTAGAAATAAGAGAAACCCACCACAATATTTTAAATCTTGCAAAAACAGTTCCATTGTTGGCTTGTATCATGTTTTTCTGAGTTTTCTGACAGGCGGTATTTTCCCAGTGCTATTACAGTGGGGATGGTTTGTTACCTTGATCCTTAAAATGAATGTAATATTCCTCACTCCATGTAGAATTCAGAATGTTTATATTAATCTTTATTTAATTCAAATAGGAGGCAATATATTAACACTCATAAGTGCTATGTATTAACATAGGCCCAGGAGTACATGGGTCATGGAATCAAAGAGATTGAGATTGGAATCACGAGCCAGCCTCCCCTTTACCAGCTCTGTGATATCAGACTCATGATTTCAACAGCTTTAAGCCTCACTTTCTAATCTGTGTAGTTGGAATGATGCCCTCCAGGATAGTTGTGAGGGTCAATTAGGCAGATGTTAGGAAAACTCGCATTATGTATGGTGGTAGGTGCTCCATAAAAGGTAGACTAGCTATGCAGGAATGTAGTGAAATTATTGTGAAAGGTCATCTGTTGATGTTGGAGCACTGAACAAGAATATATTTCGAATAATTATTGTTAAATAATTACTTAGTAAATATTTATGTAATTGGAAGATCCTTTCTAAGTTCTTGCTTATAGAGACTTTTTATTTCATACACAGAAAAATACTTTCCATAGATCAGCCTGAATTTCTGAATTAGCAGAAATTCCGAATTATCAGGAATCAAAACAATGCATATTAAAACTAATTTTTCTTATTCAGCTTTTTAAGAAGATAGCAAATCAAAGTCATTGTGGAAAGGAAAGAAAAGATAAAAATGTATTTGCAAAGCACCATGGTGTTCAGAATGGCACCTGGGTGCATTCAGCTATCTTTGGTGAAATGAAGAATAATACAAGTAAAATGTGTAATACCCTTGTTTGTATAACATTCCTACAATGTATTGACAGCCTTTTAGAAAATCAAAACTACTTTCTATCATAAAAGATAAAGAACAAAACAGACTAAATCCACTTCAAGAAGAGAAAGAGTCTCTTTGAGATTCAGATTCAGCATTGTATTTAACTATTCTAAATCTATTTGCTTCAGTATTCAGAAGCTTTTGTGATAGGATCAGAAACTGTGAAATGGAAATTGTAGTGATTTAATATTTGGAAAAATTATAATAAGTGTAAAAAATAGTCAGGAAATGTTTTCACAGTGCTTTCTGCAAAGGAAAGAGAATTAAGAAGAAAAGCCAAGAAAGCTTCAGGGATTAGAGAAGATATTTTCTAAGTTTGAAAGCAGATGTTGTACCATATGTGCTTACCTGTTCTCTTTTTATTCACTTTGGCTGGATCATTACCAACCTGTCTTGTTTTTAATCTAGTAGAATCACTGACTGAATAACCAATTATCTCACCTCTTTATAATTCAGCTAACTATGACATAATGCTCCTCAAATAGATTATAGGCAAGAGAAAAAAAAGAAATGAATTAAAAACTAACATAAACACAGTAATGAGTTCTCAGTTTCACCATATT